ATCACGTTTCTTTTCCATTATTGTTACATTTACTAGATGAATGATATTCAGGAAGTTACGCCTATATATGTGTTTGTTTCTTGTCCATTGCCATTCACCTATAATTCAATGTTCACTGAATCTCTTGAATTTTGTTCATTTCCTAGATGAATGATATATTTGGCCTTATATAGGTAGGTAGGTAACTAAAGGAAGTTCCATTCTAGTTCACTAATTGTGATTTTTTGTTCATTAAAGTTGTTAAGAACATGAAACATGTATTATTTTATCCTCGATTCAGCTCCTCATAGGTAATGTCATACATCTTTTGACAAATGTATGTATGAATCATGCCATATTAAGGTAATGAATTGGTCAAAGTTGAGTCACAATAAAGAATAAATTACGTCATATTATGGGCAGTATATAGTCATTTGTGACGTTTATTTACGTCACGAAAAACGTCATATTTACGTAAAAAACTGACGTAAATATTATGTAACATATTGACGTCTAATATACGTTATGTTTACGTCATATTATTGGGTGATTTGACGTCCATGAGGACCAAAAATTTACGCTTAAAATACGTCATCAGGTTTCCTGGGAAGACCCTGTTTAAATTAGGAGTTAGAGGAATACAGAATGTAGCTCGCAAGGGAATGAACCGCGTAGGCATTACGTTCTCTACTTCAAACTATGCTAATGAATTCCTTATGAACAAGGGATTCTTTGATAAAGGCTTTGTAGCCTATATCCCACAAAGTTTATTGACATGGTAAGGTCTAATTCGAGAAGTTGGGTATTCTATAGATATGGATGATGTCATTGAATACAATAACGCAAAGTGTAGAATCTTTGACGCCAAAAGGTTGAACAAAAAGTCTGTAAGGAACAACGAGACTAAATTTGAGCCCTCCACAACAGTGGTGGTTACATTTGAATGCAGTAGGTCAAAAGTTCCAAATACTTCGAGTATTTTTTCTTATCTCTATGAAGTAGAAGCTTACATCCCGCCAGTAATACAATGCTACAAGTGTCTTAAGTATGGTCATGCCAAAAGGCAATGCAGGAAAAAAAAAAGGTGTGCTATCTGTGGGGAACATCATGATGAGGAGTGTGAGAGCCCTGAAATCAAGTGCATTTTTTGTAATAATTCACATCTTGCCATCCATAGAGGTTGTAAAGAACACGAAAGACAACAGAAAATCAATGAAACCATGGTCTTCCAAAATCTCTCCTTTTTTGAAGCTTCCAAATTATTCCCACCAATACTCCCACAACCACCTAAGCAGAACATTGCACGTAGGTCCCAAGACTTTCCATCCCTACCTGTAGGGACTCCAAGAACTCCATTTCAACAAGTGTATAGTCAGGTTAGTCAACAACAGAGCTACTCAAGGGTTGTATCAAGGGGGGCTCCGTGGCCGAGTTTGTCTATGCGCTGAAATTCGCTAGATAGCCGTTCACGATGCAGAGGTACTGTCGGTTCGAATCCGGCTATCGGCTGAGCATTTTTCTTTAAAATGTGTGATTCATGGTTGTAATCCTGGCAGCACCTCGATGCCCTAGAAGTGGTTCGGATTCCACTATAAGCTGTAGGTCCCGCTCTTCCCAACCCCGCACAAGTTTCTACTTCTGGGGAGTTGGTTCCCAACTTTGATGTAGTGATATACAAATTTTACAATTTTTTTTTTACAAAATTTTTTTACAAAGAGGAGAAAATTTCCTTCTCCAGTTGAGCAGGGTTCTTCTGCCCATCAGAACCTATTCCCTTCTCCAGCAAGAACTAAGACGAATCCTATTCCTCCAAATTATTCAAAATTTCCTAGTTTTTCTCAGAGCATAGCCCAATTGCCGACACCAGATAAATGGAAGCTGCCTTCTAACTTCTGCGAGCCCTGCTGCTGGCACTTTGGAAAAAAATGACAGATAAGCCCTAGAACTTAGATTCCTCCTAGTTAACTTGCATAATAACGAAAGTACCAAGAACCTAGCATTCAGCACAGTTCTTAATTTCAAAATTTGAGTTATTTACCTTTCTTGTTACCTAGCTGTACTAGGCATGAGCCTGCTAACAATGCAACCCAGGTGTGTAGGTTGTTATTCATTAGGATATGTAGGTCGAGCTGATACTACAATTACTGGTAGGGATTTTGTAGACATATGTCTCAGAGACCATGTTTTAATGAGTTAAATGTATTGTAGGTAGCCATGCAGTTCCCAGGTTCATAGCGCTATTACCCCAAAACTTGATTGGCCATTATTCCCCATGTTTTTCTTTTGTTTATATTACCTACTAATATTTTCGGAATTCTTGATATATCATACAGTAGAATGAATTGTTCTGATATTAGATATTGAAACCCACTGAGGTAACATATAACAAAACTCACAGTTTCATATCAAATAATGAAGAAATTCTGTTATATCAAGAAATAGAACCCATTGTTTCATATCAAATAATAAAGCACACTGTTTGTATCTTCCGAACTCCTCAGTTGTAGACTTATTTCATACCCACTCCCTTCTTCCCTGAGCCAGGGTCTGTTCCTCCTTGAATGTCTTATAAATAACCGCTACTCCTTTCCTCCTGTCAGAACTTCTGATAGAAGAAAAGAACATAGCAAAGTGCTATAAGAGTTTTTATTTTATGTTGATTAGTTAGCTTGAATGAAGGTAGGTATTTCTTTTTAAAAAGCATACATATTGGTGTACTGAGCCATTTCTTGAAAAACAAAATCAAATCAAAATATATATAAAAGAAATAAAGTAGAGTATAAAAATGAAACCCTACATTGTATAAATAGAACTAACACAATATAGTGAACAATATAAAACACATTAAAATTACAGAAACTGTTGAAACCAAAGAATATAGTTAAAAGTTTTAAATCGAAAAACAACAGGATATTAGCAATGTGAATTATTTTAGGAATTTTTCAGAAAAGAATTCGTCTAAGGAGTAGCAAGCTTTTTCAATTAGAAGACTTTTGACCAATTTTTTAAACATTTTTGGGTTATTGATACATGTTACCTCATCAGGCAAATGGTTATACAATTTTCTGCCATTGTAAATGAAAGAGTTCATTATTAATGTAGAGCTAGGTATTGGTATTTTTAAATTATGTGCTCGTCTTGTATTATAGTGTGTAGTAATATGATTTTCGTTTTTATATTTTTGGTGTATGAGACATACCGTTTCCAGAATGAAAATACATGGAAGAGGTAATATTTTGTACTCTATGAATAATGGCTTGCAAGTATCCCTGAATCCAGCTCTACACATGTATCTCACGGCTCTTTTTTGTAGGACAAAAATCACATCAAACAAAGTTTTACTACATGAACCCCAGAAACAAATTCCATATCTCAAATGTGAATCAATGAGAGCAAAGTATACACTTTTGGCCATTTCTCTACCAAGTTCCCATGATGTTGTTCTGACTGCATAACAGCCAGATGACAAGTTTTTCCCTAATTTGTCAATATGGTCACTAAACTTCAATTTATTATCAATGTGTAAACCTAGAAACTTCGTATCTGTTCTATTACTAATTACTTGATTACCTAACTGAAGTTCTCCCTGCAGAGTGCAATTGAAAGTTAGGACACTTGTTTTAGAGATGTTAAAGGACAACATATTAGAATCGCACCACTTTTTCACCTTAGCAATATCGTTACTAATTGTTTGTTGTAAGTCATAACTATTTCTACTGTGCCAAAATAGTGTGGTGTCATCTGCAAATTGGGTAAATTTTCCTATAATATCGATCGACGCTAGGTCATTGATGTATAACAAAAAGAGGATAGGTCCGAGCACAGATCCTTGAGGCACTCCCCAACTAACCTCCAATCTACATGATATATTACCACACTTCGGATTCTTTCGAATAAGTAAGAACTGAACCATTGCAAAACTGAATCCCTGAAACCATATCTTTCTAATTTTTGGAGCAGAAATTTGTGGTTGACACAGTCGAAAGCCTTAGTCAGATCACAAAAAACTGCAGCCGCAGCTTCCTTATCAATAAGTTTGAGATACACATGTTGTAATAGATTGAAAATTGCATCATCAGTACTCTCAGCAGTCTGGAAACCAAACTAGGCAGAATTGATGCTGTTATGATTATTTAAAAAAATCATCATTCTCTTTTTTACAAGTTTTTCAACTATTTCCGACAGTGTGGGTAGCATTGAGATAGGCCTAAAGTTTGCGGGATCATTTGTATCACCACCTTTGTATAAAGGAATGACGATTGCGTTTTTAAGGCACCGAGGAAAAACTCCTGTAGTGAACGAAATATTAATGGCATCCACTAATGCCTCAAGAGCGGTGTCTGGTTGGTTCAGAAATATTTTTATTGACAAATCATCCCATCCAGACGCATTTTTATTTTTTATGTCATCAAAAGTTTGTTTCAATTCAAGAATGTCTGTGGGAGCAAAATAAAATGATTCAGAAATAGAAATATTATTCATGTAAGATAATGGATCTGTAGTGGAGTGAATATCTTTTGAAAGGATGTCTGCCACTGAACAATAATAGCCATTAATATCATCACTTCCAAGATCTGTCTTTATAGGAATTGACTGATTTTTTCTTCCCCCTTGTAGTTCCTTAATAATGGCCCAGCTCTCATCTCCAATATATCGCAAAAAATACTGCAATGGCGAATCTAAAACCTTGTCGTGGACTGTAGTTATTTGAATCTTGTAAAAATGTAGTATCTGGAGTAATAATTGCCTCTCTTAGCCAAACAATTGTTGATTTTATTTTTTTCTTCTTAGTACTCGCTTGAGTTGATAACTCATTTATGGTTTCTTCAAGTTCTTCTTGATCTTCTTCAGATTCAGACTCGTTGAAGGATTCTGATGATACGTTTCTAGCGATTTCTCTTTGTCCAATTCTGTTGGTTTGTTGTGGAACATAGTCATCATCGCTGCTATAATCCGACCAAAAATCTATATCTGAAGTGTCATCTTGAATATATTCTAATAGATCTTGTATATCTGTTCCATTATTCAGATAACGCTCTTTCCTCAATCTTTTTTGTGTCGGTGTCCTTGATGGACCTTGAAAAGGTGAAATTTTAGTGTCAACATATTGTTCATTCAAGACCTAATGTACAGTACGATGTACATTTCAAATAATACAAAAGTTGTTGCGAGGACCTAATGTACATACATGATACTGTACACTCATTCAAAAGCTGCTCGTCTCAGTATTTCAAACACTTGACATGAGAAATGCAACACGGTCTCAAAACGTAAATTGCGAACAAAATAATAATAATAACTGATTAATAGTATGTACACCATTGCGTACTATGGGTCTGAAAGGGATAACTCAAAAACTATTCAGAATGATGTCAAAAACATAAGAACTTTTAAACAAATCAAGAAACAAATTCTATTCATTTTCTGAATCACCATTGTTTTTTTCAACAGCAGTAGTTAGCCTAAGAACAAATTCTATTTATTTTCTGGATTATCATTGTTTTTTCAACAGCAGTACCTAGTTAGCCTATAAAGTAAATCTAAGTACCTATCTTGTCTTTGCCATTTTTTCATGAAAGGAGACTGGAAGCTAGGAGTGCTTTGGTTGTTACTAGGACTATTCTTTTCACTCTCCATACTCAGATTGTCAACTGAACTATCATCTAATTGTCCTGAAGTCAACAAAATGATAAAACCTGCAAAGTCACATAATTTTAAATTTATATACATATTTAAGTACCTACTCAAATCATACTAAATCAATCAAGTAATGCATAGAACATGGGTGGCTAACCTTTTCAGCAGCTGGGCCAAATTTCAGAAATAAGATTCCTCTCTGAGCCATTCAGCAAAAAAAGGGCCACAAGGAAACAAGCGGTGGGCAGCGTGTTGGCCACCCATGGTATAGAACATTCTGATTGTGTGGAAACTGTTATTATAAATTATTTGCCACACCTACCATTTACCCCTTTTATTATGTGTAGGTGTAGCAGTTATAAGACCAATTTCACTTGAGCAGATAGCAGAAGGGTTAATTTCTGGCCTGCAATACATTATCTCATCCATTGAATTGAAGTACTTCCATTCCTTTTTATTGTTTCCTGACTGCTCATTGTGTTTTTTGATTTGTTCATACATGTTCTTCAGTGCTTCCCGTTTTGTGTCACACTGCTGAGCACTGGCACTGGCTGAGCATATGATTCGTTGAATTTTTCCGTTACATCTCTGGCAACTTTGTTCCATACATATTATTTGTTCCTTTTTCAAAATTCATTTTCATATTTTTGGCATAAGTTGATCAACAGCTTTGTAACATCATCTGACCAAACTTTAATATTTTTTGAATTTAAGTAAAAATCAGTAACGAGGCAGGTTTCTGTGGTGGCAGATGTCACCAGTGTATCAATATTACAATCTGAAAATCATCATTGATTACACTCAATTTGATAGTACAAGCCTTGCCTCTGAAAGCAGTCAAGTGCTTTGTGATTTCACTATGGAATTTGGTGGTAGGATCATTGACATCAGAATCGAAGGATAAAAATGTGAGTAATTAGGTATATATAAGAATTTCTTGTTAAAACCAAACTTCGCAACTTACTGTCATCATTTCCAAATATATCGGACAGGACAAAATTCTTACAGTCGACTCCACCAAAGCTATACACTATTGTAAGCAATCTTACAGGGACATGTTTCGAAGCTTTAAAGCTTCATCATCAGCGTTATTGTTACATAGGAGTACTAAAGTGAGAGAAAAAAGAAAAATGTCAAACAAACCCCTCAACAACGATAGGTCTAAAAAACTCACCTGTTCTGGATGAAAAAAGTTATGTTTACATATTATTCATATTATTGAAAAATGTTCCAAAAAAAATTATGAAAAAGTTGAATGGGGACCGCAATTATTGCGGAACCCCTTTGTTAGGGAGCTTTGAATAACATGTTAATTAGTATTTAGAGAAAATCGACAAGATTATTATCAGTTCATACAAACTGTCAAAAAGCCAAGAAAAATTAAATGTCAAAAATCAAACATCAAACGAATTGCATGACTTTGACATGAAGTGGCAGAGGTGTCGTGGAACATCAAATAGACTAGAGATGTTCCACAATAATTGCGGTCCCATTCAACTTTTTCATAATGGTTCTTAAAACATTTTTCAATAATATGAATAATATGTAAACATAAATTTTTCCTCCAGAACAGGTGAGTTTTTCAGACCTATTGTTGTTGAGGGGTTTGTCTGACATTTTTCTTTTTTCTCTCACTTTAGTACTCCTATGTAACAATAACGCTGATGATGAAGCTTTAAAGCTTCGAAACATGTCCCTGTAAGATTGCTTACAATAAAGTATAGCTTTGATGGCGTCGACTGTAAGAATTTTGTCCTGTCCTATTGCCTTCACTCCACTGTAAGATGGATCGCCTCAGATGTCCAAATATATCTACAACTTGTGAATGTGATTGAGAACTTGAAGACGTTTGACTATTACTTTTCATTAGATTGAAAGCAGCTTTGAAATTTTCTTTTTCTTGTTCTTTTTCCGAAAGAAGCGCAGCCAGAGTCAAATCTATAGGAGAAAATATAAAAAAATAATTTTGAATTTGTCATCTGAACACATTTATTAATTGTGTTTACTTACGGAAGTCATTATATCTATTATTCCTCATTTCGCAATAATAAACAAAGACAAATTAGCATTGAGTGCATGCAAAGTTCGCACTAAATGCTTCCAACACTGCTGTATCACTGAAAATTGATATAACACCAATTAATGATATATACGCTTACTTCTATATATGAGTTCTTATTCTTTTGATTGCTTCCGCCATGATTCGATAGGGAGGACGTGGGCAAAGCGGGATATACCTACCGCTCAGTTGTGAATAGAAATAATTAATGAATAGTTTGAATAGTAAAATTGTACAGGGGAAAATATCTAAACTACAGAAAGTGAACACCAAATCATGAAGATTTAGCCTACGATGACTCATAAAAATATGTTGCTGTTAAGCGGCCAATACACACACGGGATTCGTGACAGTTTTCCCGTACGTGATTACCTGACAGCTTTCACGAACTCCGTCAAAGCCCACACACTTTCGGGAATCATTAGACAGTTTTGATCGTACGTAGTTAACGGTACAGTTCTTGTCGAACCGTATTTAATAATAAATAATAAATACAAATCCGCGATCTCAGAAAAATAAGTTTCATTATAATCGTGTAAACGTACTTGTTTTGTATTTCATATACAAAGAAGAATCAATATGGTATCGAAACGTGTTTTGTGTTTACTTGGAATTACATTGGTACTACAAAAGAAAAAATATGGAAGACAACGTTCAAGATGGGTGAAACAATGGTTGTTGCAAAGAAGTAAATATTCTTATATAAATCTCCTAAATGAGTTGAAGCTAGAGCCTCTCGATTGTAGAAATTATTTGAGGATGGATGAGGATAGCTACAATGAACTTTTGAATTTGATAAGTCCTTTCATTTTGAAAAAAGATACAGTAATGAGGCAATGTATTTCTCCGCATGAACGTCTGACTGCAACTCTGAGGTTTTTGGCGACAGGAAGAAGTTACGAAGACTTGAAATTTTCCACAATTATATCGCCCCAAGCTCTGGGAAAAATTATCCCTGAAACTTGCAGAGCAATAATTAAATGGCTCCAAGATTTTATTAGGGTACGTGTAATATTTAGTATACAAAAAATTGAGCAATCAGAAGTCAAAATTTTCAAAAAACTACGAGTAGGATGAAACACAGATTTTTTATTTTATAGCAAAACATTTGAACAACAAATTTATGAAGTTTCATGTATTAGGCGAGAATTGCTCATAGTATGATCCTAAACGACCTAAAGTTTCACTTTGATCGTAAATAGGGTTTACAAGAGTTGACTCTGCTACCCGAGAAGATGGCTGCATCAGATGAAGTTGACTGTTTGCAGTTCTGGAATCCGTTAAATTCATGTTGGTATACCGGTGAATATTTCCCAACTGGGCTTCAAACAGTATGTCTGTGATAAGTTTATCCACTACGATAACTGTTTCAGCTGGCAATTTTCTCAAGTTATCACTTATATTTGTGCCCATAATAGAAAATTCATCCTGTGAGTTTTCTGGTTTATCTAACTGTACCGAAACTTTCTTCAGTATTTGGTCGTAGCTGTCACCTTGCCGTTTTTTGCAGCGTTTCATCCCAGAAGTAAAAGCAGTGGTTACAGATGTTTCTGTTCCACTGACTGAGATACTGCAGCTTGTAGCTGGAGACTGTACATCTAAATCGAAATTCTCCAAATTATCGCCATCTTGAGACATTTCAGCCTAGAAGTTTTTTGATTTAATACAAGCAATGTTTTTGTCTGTGTCATATTAAGTGTGTGGCTAGCTGTTAGTCTATTTGTAGCAGTTTAATACAATTCAAAATATTTTTTTCAGATCCCGGTCACGGAGCAAGGGTGGAAAGACATTTCAAAGAGTTATGAGATGAATTGGCAATTCCCCAATTGTATAGGGTCAGTTGACGGTAAACATATACGGATAGTAGCACCACATGATGGTGGATCATATTATTATAACTACAAGGGCTACCATAGCATTGTTTTACTTGCCGTAGTCGACGCTAATTATGAATGACGTGGGCACCAATGGAAGAGTTTCAGATGGAGGTGTTATTGAGTATACCGAATTTCATTATGAATTGAAACATGGGTTACTAAACATTCTCAAACCAGAGAAATCCATTAAGAGCAAAGAAAAGCTGCCCTATGTGTTCATAGGTGATGACGCATTTGCTTTGAGCCCAGATATTTCAAAACCATTTGCCCAAAATGAACTCACCCAGGAACGTAGAATTTACAACTACAGGCTATGTCGTGCACGCCGTGTTGTAGAAAATGCCTTTGGTATTCTGGTATCGCGTTTTAGAATATTTCATGGACTCATTAACATCAAATTAGAAAATATTGACTTGGTTGTCATGGCTTGTTGTTATCTGCACAACTTTTTGAGACGAAAATGTCCAAAGACGTACTCTTCAATTGACTGCTTCAATTTGGAAAATATTGAAACAGGAGAATTATGCTGCAGGGAAAAACTTTCCACTGAAACAGCGGGGTTGCAAAAAGGAAAGAACAGAAATCCAGCACTCGATAGCAAAGAAACAAGAGATCAATTTTCCAGATACTTCAACCAAGAGGGGGCTGTTCCATGGAAAAATATGTTTGTTTGATTGTATTTCAATTAAATACACAGATGGAATCTTTGTTTGTTTCATTTCATACATTTTTGTCCAAAAAGTTGAGTAGATTCAACAAAATTTAGCGTCGAAAATAAAGGAAACACAAAAAGAAACAAAGTTTTCGCATATATTCCTGAGATAAAGATTCTTCATCCGACTGTCCCATGCTTGAAATACTCCTTCTTGGCATCTCCTGATCTAGCAAGAATTTTAAATGTTCAAAATACCATAACTTGGATTTGTAAATATCTTCTTCCCCCGCCCCTGATTTCTTAGAATCTTCCATTTTCTGAAATTCCTTTCTGAAGGATCCTCGAAATGAGTCAATTTTCTTTACTACCATATCTTTGTTGGCGTTAATATCAACTTCACGTAACTTTTCGATGAGCAAAGTATATGCTTTTTGCTTCATATCACGATTTGAGTACTCTTTACTTTTTATTTTCCATGAACATGGATGTGAGCGATATATTTCCAAAAATTCCAATATAAAATCTTTACTCCATTGGCGAGTATCCATAATTGTAATAGTCAAACCAATCTGTTTATACACAATACTAAAAACTAGCTGCACGGGGTATCCAAAAACACGTCGAATAAAACTGGCCGCTGCGCATACACGCGCTGAAAAGCCAACCGTTCGGGTAATCTCGTCGTAAATAACCGCCTATTATCAACACTTGATTGATTCGCTCGGGAATACCCGTTCGGGATAATTTTCTTCGGGATAAACACATAGACGTTCGTGATTACCTGAACGGTTCAATCACGTACGGGTAAAACTGTCACGAATCCCGTGTGTGTATTGGCCGTTAAGGAGATACAGAGTGCATGTTCATGGGGAAGATTATTTTGAAGTAATGAATTGGTAACTCATTTTGTGATTGCTCATAGAGGACACCCCAGGTAACAAGCTGACGTCATTTGTACGTCAATATATGGTCATTTATGGTCATTGACGTCATATGACCTCAAAATAACGTCATTTTGACATACCTTATATGACGTTCTATAGACGTCCTCAATATGTCGTCAATATGACGTCATCTGATGATCATTATCATGACTAATTATGACCATTAGTAATTGAGTCATCTACATACAAGAAGAATTCATAATCAAGAAGTATCCCATCTCTGTTATATGAAAAGGTTAGTGGTTATGTTATATAACATATATTATTATATGTCACTCATCATATATTGTGCTTTATAATAATTTTTCCTCTAATTTGTGCGAGCTGTGTGTTTTCGATGGTCTCTGAGATAATTGTTAATTATACACCTTCTATGCAAAGTATTTTCCCTATAGCTATTAAAAATATCAGACCGAATTTCACGTCATTAGAAGCTTGTTACGTTGTTATTTCGCAATTAGAATTCAAATCAGAGCGTGCGATGATACAATTATCTTAGGGGTTTTTTATGGGGGTTCTGGCCGTTTTGGGAACCATAGGCCGTAGAATTAGCACAGGATCACGCAATCCACTCAGTACTTTTATCAAATGCTATTAAATATCCATCTATAAAGGGCGATCCTCTGTCTCACTAAAACTCTAAAGTTGACCATGATATATACCCTAATAGCACGAAGTAGTCCTATGGACATCCATAGGACGTCTTTTTCGGACATTGTGGACATCCACAGGACGTCCTTCTCTGGTACAGTGGACGTTATATGGACGTCCGAGGGACGCACTAATGTCACAACTTTGAACTTAATTCGATCGTCCACTGCGGACATCCAGTGGTTATCTCCTTGGGACCATAACTGACAATCCCGACGTCCTATGGACTTCCAAGGGCCTCACTGATGTAACACCTATGTACAGACTTCGAACGTCCACCGTGGACATCCAGTGGATATCCCCTTGGGACCGTAAATGAATATTCCGACGTCCTATGGATGTCCGAGGGCCTCACTAATGTAACAAATTTGTACCAACTTCGAACGTCCACCTCGGATATCCAGTGGATATCTCCTTGGGACCATAACTGAATATCTCGACGTCCTATGGAAGTCCAGGGGCCTCACTAATCTAACAACTTTGTACCAACTCCGAACGTCCACCTCGGACATCCAGTGAATATCTCCTTGGGACCATAACTGAATATCTCGACGTCCTATGGACGTCCAGGGGCCTCACTAATGTAACAACTCTGTACGGACTTCGAACGTTGACCGTGGACATCCAGTGGATATCCCCTTGGGACCGTAACTAAATATACCGACGTCCGAGGGCCCCACTAATGCAACAAATTTGTACACTCCGAACGTCCACCGCGGACATCCAGTGGTTATCCCCTTGAGACCATAACTAGATATCCCTATGTACGTTCATAAAACGTCCTATTTTGGTACAACGTACGTCAGAGGAAATTATTTTTTTTGTCTCCACCAGTTCAATTGATGTAATTTTGAAATTTGTATTCCAACATTTCAATTTTGACTTGTTTTTTAAATGAAATTAATAAACTTTTTTCAACTCGACTATTCATTCTCAATTTAAACTCCTAGATTCATTTGGTAAGTTGATAGGAACTGCTTTGAAAATTGTTTTCTCAAAAAGTAATTATTATAATTTTTAACATGCAACTTGTCTGTATATAAGGTGTTCCAAAAGTCAGTAGCGAAAGCTTTCAGGAACTTACATTCCTGGTCAAAATATAACTTTTTTTCATGAATGTGTCTGCAAACCCACTAAGCAATGTAATATCTCAACAATATTGTAGCAATATTTCAATGTTATGTGTAATGTTACATCAGATATTGTTGCTATCTTACTGCAAGGTCGCAGCAACTACCGAAACGGACGTTCAGCAATATTATGAATGTAATGTTCGCAAATGAATCATTCCAGCAGAGTTATTGTATCATTGTGTATGAAGTAAAGTAACATTTCATACTCAATGAACGAATGTAATCTTATTGTTATATTTTGTTAAGGTTACTGGCAACATAAAATAAAAAGTGAAGGAAAACTACATATTTTATATTATAAATTATACATTGTAACAATATTCTAATAATCGAATAATCGTGTCGACTATTTCATAATTTGAAAGTAGATTGAAAAAATTTCTAAATATTTCTGATATAACGGTACTAGGTCTCATAGGCACTGGCCAGTGGCGTAGCGAGAGGTGTCGGGGCCCCGGTGCAACGAGGGTTGATGGGGCCCTAATTCACTGAGAAAATTTTCCAACCCTAGAGTTGAAGGTAGTTGAAGATCGAAAAAAAAAGAACAGAATTGTTAAAAATGTATATCTCTTGTAGTGGCGAGTCATTATGAGTTCGAAATTTGAGAAAGCTGATATGAGCAAAATTGCGCTTGAGGCAATTCTTTTCGAAATTTCAAGGTCAAGCTGCCTGGTTCAGGAGTTCAAAATGAGAATCGTATATATTTGTCTCTTGAGTATGAATCTAGTAGCCTCATCAGTTAATTTTATTTCCAATGAAAACAACTGAACGTACCTAAGTATTTTTCTGTTCTCTCGAATGAAGTCACGAAATGACAAAGTTTAAGAATTGTTTTTGCAAATGTTGACGAGCCATGGCAGCCACCTGATACCTTTCTCCGCTTGTTCTCTGCAATCTGAGTGAGGCTATTTGTCCATCGCCTCACCTCCGTTTGTACCATGCAGTGACTTTTGCAGAAATTTCACGGTATTTAGTTGAAACAACTAATGTATTTTGAATCTGATAGTTATTATCAATGAGTACCAAGATTTTGGTAGCATGAAAATGACTCCAACAGGGCAACCAAATCAAAACAATCAAATATTTAGGACACGTGTATAAGGACGCAAATTTTCATAGGTAAGTATATTCAGCCTGTGACCGTTTTGATTAGCTTCCAACCGAGCTTTCAACTGACGATTATGATATGATCTCGCTGTTGGCAGCAATATTTCATATCGTAAAATCACAGTTGAGTTCAACATTCATAGGCGTATATTCATGTTTCGGAATATTTTCTTGCGAGGAAATCTGATGGTTTGATCATTATACAGGGACAAACAAAAGTTACTCTTTTACCCTTAACTTCCTATTATTGCCCTGTGGAAAAAGTGAGTGGTTACTTGGCTTCATATGTTTAAGATTGAAATTTGATCCTTTTTCGTCCTTTCTCAGCATATTGGTTCAAGACTCACGTCAATATCTCCTTTTAAAGAGAATATACAAGTGTTCGAAGGAAGTATGGAATTTTTTAATTTTTGTCAACAATAATTCAAAACCTCTAGAGTATCTTAGGGATGAACTTCAGAGGCTCATTCGCATTCGTCCAGCCTTGTCAGAGACTCTTCAAGAGCTACAATTGAAGAATTTTAGTTATTCTCCAAGTCCACTTGAAAAATTTGATCAACTCGATGACAGAGCGGTTAAATGCTGTAATTCAAACTCGAGGAGAGCATACCTGTTATTGACTACAGGTCTGCTTTTTGTTTGTATTTTGTATTTGAGATTTCTTTAGGTGTGTGCTATAAAAATGAGGTAGAAATTAGTAATATTGATTCCTCAAGTTGCTACTCAATAAGTTGATGTAGGATCTGATTGTTGTTAAAAATAATTGAAAAATGCCATAATTTCTCAAGACACTCTCAAGATTCTCTTAAAAACGAGTTATTGACGTGAATCAGCAACCATTGTGTGTGTGTTGTGGGATCAAACTTCAATCCAGAGCATAGTGAAGCCAAGTTCAATAAATCAATCTTGCCACATGGCGTTAAGAAGTAAAGGGTGAAATAGTAACTTTGGTATTTCCCTATTTAATGATCAAGTCATCAGTTTTTCACAGAAACTAATAATATTTAGACTAACATTCCGGAACATGAATCTACGATTTGATCGAAATTTCACAAAAATCTGACAAAGATTAAAAAAGTTAGGGTTCATGAATTAATTTGCACACCAATCCTTTCTTGCATTATACCTGCTAATGCAGATGGGGTTATAGGGGCCCCTCCGGGGCCCCAATGCCCCAGCGCCCCGGTGCACCGCACCGAACTGCCCGTCCATAGCTACGCCACTGGGCACTGCACTGCATAAGAACCTGGAACAAAGGAAATGAAATAATGATAAACTAAAATAGTCAGGAATCTACCTGTTAGTTGAGTTAGTTCATCTACCGGTTAAACTTGAGAGTTGAGGATTGTATACTTGATTCTGGAAATATTCATTTTCCAAGGTATGCTGAGAGTATCCTCATAATATACACTGAAGATAATATGAATATTCCTCAGCATCTAGAGAATATTCTGAAGAACGATATTTGAGGTTGTTTTAGAATGAATTGTGCATGAGTGCGAGCTCAAAGTTTTTTCTACAACAGCTAAGTGCAGTAAAATGAGAGATAAGATTTGATGATTCGAGCAATGATTCCACTATCACTATGAGGTTAAACAAAACCTCAATGTCCCTAAGTGTTTCAGTAATAAAAAGGATTGATTTCATATAATTTGTAATGTTTTATAGAGTTCCTGATAAAGAGCCGATAAAGACCCGAAAGCACAAACAGAAACAATAAGAGAGTAGGTACACTTTGATTCACTTTGAATGCACACTCAAAGGAATTCACGAGGTTGTCCTATAACTTTGAGTATACGAATAATTATAATCATTCTATGTTATTTTTTGTCGATCGAACGATCCGCTTAGATCAATGAACGATGTATGAATTTGTAAAATGCATACCTAACCTAGAATAACTGATGTTGACTTACCTAACCATCAACTGCTAACTGCGATTCAAAACCTTCCCAACTGCCTAATATCACATATCGCCAGATCATTACTTATACCTCAATTTATGTTCCAAAAGTATATTATTTATTAATATCATTTGCCATTTGGACGTGTACAACAACAAAATAACTGTTACCGAAGCCAAACACGAACAAATATGGCGACTAAAGATACTGGCGTTTGTCGAATGCAAGTTTGCGACTGCGCGTAGGCATTTCATGAAATGGCGTCTCCCGATCGATATTCAATGTAGCATTTTGTATATTTCAGCTATATTATATTTTTTATTCAAATATGTGTTGCATCCCATAAGTTGTAGCAATATTGTTTGTAGTTACCTCATGTTATTTACAAACTCAATGAAGTATCAATGTTGATGCAACATTACAATTGAAAATTCCATATGTAACGTTGCACTGGTATTGTTCGTAGTTGATCCATGTAATGTTGCACTTTCAATATTGCTATTGAAACTTAATTGAAAGGGTCATTTTGTAACTTACGAACAATTTGTCAGTAAGTTTTTCTGTTATATCGTCAACACGAATATAGCAGCAAAATAGATACAATATTGTATTTTCATATTACGGAAGAAAGCTTCACAATATATTGTGGCAATATTTTGTTACATTACATGTTTAGTGGGAACGCTTCGTTACTAATATATACAGAGCGTTTAAAGTTTTGAGTTTGTTCCAACACCTTTTAAATAAAGTCAAGGTTTGTTAGATTTCTTATTTCTAAGATAATGTTTGGAAACTTGTAATTGAGATCACAAACTGAATATGTAGCGTTTTTTGTTTCAAATGTGATAATATAGTTCCTCCCTTTTGTTGAAAATATCAATTGAATCAAGGGAATTACCATTTTTTTTTTCGATAATGGTCGCAGATGTGTAAAAATTACAAGAGACAAAAAATTTTATGAAGCAAAATAGGGCCAGAACCCTGAAAAAATATCTCCCTGCAGATTATTTTACACTCACTCGACATATTGTGTGATGTAAACCCTAAAACGTAACCCATGTTTCAAATTTGATCTGAATATATCTCGAAAACTGAATGAGTTCAAATTAAGAAAAAAGAAATCTTGAAATTTCAGTGCTCCGTAGATCGATAATGAAGCGTTTGCGGACACATGTTTATAGAAAAAGTCTTATTTTGATCTAAAAAATAAGCACCTGAATTCATGATACTGAATTTTTGAACACCCTGTATAGTGAGAGGAAATGTTGAGGAGTAGAAGTCAAACTACTATTTTTTCTTCATTCCAAAAGTGAAACTAGGTTAAACAACAAAATATTTTAATGAAAACGTGTCTTACTAACTTGCAAAATAAATAGTACTCTGAAAACGTGAAAAAAAAATACAGCTTCAGTTCATGCAAACAAAACTCTCTTCTCTTATTGAGGAACAAAAAAAAATGTCAATGAAAAATGTTATCTCATTTGTTTTTGTTCTTTTCCTCTGCCACATGTCTCTCTTTGGCCCGCCTTAAAAATTTTTTGATGGCATCCTCTACTTCTTTTATGGAACAATTTTTTGTTTTTCCATTAACTTGGGCAGATCCTGAAAGAAAAATATACAAATATTGAAATTGTCTTCTCTATTTAGGTTGAATGTCACCAATATGAAAAAAATTATTTTGTACTTTCAATAGGTGAAATGAGAATATTTTATTCTAAGAACACTAGAATCGAATGCACACAATAGTACATTGTTTTATTAGGATCAAATGTGACACTTTGTTTGACATGCAATTTTTTCTGCAATCGAAATAATTGATATCTAATTGATAAAATGTAAGTGGAGTTGCCACTATTTTGACTAACTTGAGCATGTCAGTGTGAAATCAGCACTTTTAGTTCCTAGGTGTTAAACTTCAACTTTAGCTCCTAGACACTTAAAGTGTTGCCTAGCAACATACATACTAATCATTTTATTGTGTCAGTGAGAGAAACATCAACTTCAAGAGCTAATTTTGGATAAAAAATTGACGACTTTTGAGTCGAATGCAGAAAAAATTTGTTAATTGAATTGAAATTGAGAAATATATGATGGCCTCTCAAATGGCAATACAGTTTCTGGCATTCAAAAGGAATAAGATGATTCACTTCAATTTTCACATTGAAATACCCAAGATTAACCTCTCCTACCCAACTTGCTGCAACTTTCAAACAATATCACCTCACTTACTTATAATAAGATCTGCTACATTGGTTTTTGAAAACACTTGTTTTTTTTTTAAGGCCAACCCAGCTGAATTCACTGGCCAATTTGTTTGTTAATAATGTAGCCATTGCCCTTTTCGAAAATTCATATGGTGTATCACCACCCACTTTGGATAGTTGTTTAACCTAAAAAAAAAACATATATAAAATGGATATACGGATTTAATTTGGAAAAAACGCAAATTTAGTAAATTCATTTATTTGGTGAAACTGAAACAAAAATTGGTTAGTTTTGTGTAACAAACTCTATTAATACACCTGAATGTCAATTAGTTTCCATATTTACACAAGACATTTTTATGTTATATCTTTAGAGTATACCATCACTGGATTTTTTTCAGGAATATCAATTACCACAATGCACAATTTAAAAAATGCACAACTTACAGATTTTTTCATGTTTTCCTCCGATTTTAAGAAATCCTCGAATTCTGATAATTTTTCAGTTTCGATAAGTGGTAGGTTGAAATCTTCCCATATATTATCTACTCCAGGTTCTATTATTCCTGGTTGTTCATCAATCATTTCCACTCTGGATTTTATATCATTAACCGCTATTTCAAGCATTGAGAGTTTACGCAACATTTGCTTGATGAGACCTATAATTTTTCAACTTTTATAAATCAATGAAAAATTAAAAAATAAAGTATATTTACCTGTTGTAGATAGCTCGTATCTATGATTTGGGCAGCATTTACAAATACCTGCCTTATTAACTTGAACTGATGAATCGATAAAACCTTCAGAAATACTTGATGAGAAGGAAGTTGTCTTTTTAGTTATGCTTATGTCTTCTTCAACTGAAACAAAGATTATTGCAATATTTGAGAAGACGACTGGCAACCACATAAATTAAACCACATTAAATTACAACAACAGAATCTTTCCAAGTTTGATAGACACATTCTCTTCACCTTCATTTGACAGTTTTACTTTACATTTTATATTCAAAACATTCAGACTTCCTATAAACACACCTGCATAACTAAATTGATTAAGACATTTGACCATCACTTCAAAGGAATCTGTTGCTTATGTGTAGTTTAGTGTATAGAGTTATCTCATATCAACTCCTGAAGGACTCACCATCAGTATCAATATTAGTGAAGATTCTTGTATTCTTGTTAACTGAAATAAAGAAAAAACAATAATCACTATACTGCATGTCACCGATCCACGCGTAAAGTCGAAAAAGTAAATTCTCTCATGAAGAGAGTATTCATCAATTATTAATGAAACATATATATATATATATATATATATATATATACAAATACATATGATGAGAATAGTACATTGTTTTATTAGGATCAGATGTGTCACTTTGTTTGAAAAGCGATATTTGCGAGTCACAGTTAGTCACTTTTGATCCCAATGAAACATGCCATTTTTTCTGCAATCGAAATAATTGATATCTAATGAATAAAATATCAGCTGTCATCTGACACACTTTTAGTTCCTAGGAGTTTAACTTCAACTTTAGCTCTTACGACAATAAAAGTGTTGCCTAGCAACATACATACTGATCATTTTATTGTGTCAGAAGAGAAACCTCAACTTCAAAAGCTAATTTTGGAACAAAAACGAACGAGTTTTGAGTCGATTGCAGAAAAAAATATTTTTTTCTGCAACCGACACAAAAGTCGTCCATTTTGATACCAAAATTAGCTCTTAAATTGACGTTTCTATTACTGACACAAAAATAGGTATGTTGCTAGGCAACATATTTAGTTCCTAGGAGCTAAAGTTGAGCTTTAGTTCCTAGGAGCTAAAGTTGAACTTTAGCTCCTAGGAACTAAAAAGGATCTACTGGACGTCATCAAAAATAAACAACATTGTGACGGTTTGTTATTTGGGTTGAGACGCATACCTGATTTGTTTCCGATTTCAGCAGATTTGGCATTTCATACCCATGCTGGAGATATAAATACACCTTATTATAGTTTAGTATTGGAATAATGAACATCTCAGTTAAGTATTTTTGTTTTGATCAGGAAAGCCTTCAAGATTCAAATACTTGCTTGATCTGTGTTTCATTCGTTATTCTCGGGATGAATAACTTGTGTTTGAATAATCACGGCAAGCAATAGTTTTTTTGTCTCAAACAACGATATTGTTTACCTTCATTTGATTATCAAGTCAAACACAGTGTAGTATGGAGAGGAATGAATAATCACTATTATCATTGTTGATATGCTCACTAACCTAACATTTTTCACGTCTTGTTCCTATATAGCTGGCACTGGCTCGGTATTTGCCATTAGAGCACCTGATGGTCCATACACAAATATGTCACTTTGTGGTTGTATTTATATTGAAACTACAATTCGAACATCCTAGAAAACCTAACCTAGCTGCTGTTAATGCAGGTAGAATATTCTCACCACATGGATTATATTTGTCAATATTTGTTGCATTGCATACATATGGCACGGCATTGTTGGTTACTTCACATGTTTATTTGAGTTAATTGTTTCGGTTGCAGAAAAAATAGCATGTTTCATTCGGATCAAAAGTGACTTTTTCGACTCGCAAATTTTGCTTTCCCTCGGCTTCGCTAAACGCTCCGCCTCGCAAATGCAAAATTCGCTTGTCAAACAAAGTGTCACTTTTGATCCTAATAAAACAATCTACTATTTGTTCCAAAATTAGCTCTGGAAATTAACGTTTCTCTTACTGACACAATAAAATGATTAGTTTGTTGCTAAGCAACACTTTTAGTGTCTAGGAGCTAAAGGTGAAGGTTAACTCCTAGGAATTAAAAGTGTGTCGGATGACAGCTTATATTACAGCTGCTTTGACACTGACATGCTCAAGTGAGTCAAAATAGCGGTAATTTACTTATATTTTATTAATTAGATATCAAGTGTTTTGATTTCAGAAAAAATTGCATGTTTCATTCGGATCAAAAGTGACTTTGTTTGATTCGCAAAATTTGCGTGCTTCGCGGTCGCCCCGCAACGCAAATATCGCTTGTCAAACAAAGTCTCACATTTGATCATAATAAAACAATATACTATATTATTTACCATCAACTGACTGCTTCACTGTTTCCTTCAAATTTATTTCAGGATGTGCTGGTAGTGTTGAATTCTCGTTTATGAAACAGCCACCACTCTCTGAATCAGAGTCTGTTGAACTGGACATGAGCCTCATAGGTTTTTTTTTACTCTTTTTTTTTCTGCTTCTGAATTGAGATCAGATGTATCCTCTGCTAGTCGACATTTTTTCCTTGCTATTGTGTAATCACCTAGAAAATTATGGTACATAACCACCAATTATAAATCACTTCAATTGTATATTTAGTAATCATAAGTTGCATTCCTGAAGGTAGATATTTTATGACGCTCCCAAGATGGTAGTGCTGGTTCACAAATTCTTATGGCTTTCAACAATTTTTCCTTTGTATAATTCGGTCATAAACAAAAGTCCTCTGAAAGCCATTTGGTAGGAACAGCTTCTACTGAGTGGTCACTCAAGAATTTAACCACAGTCCAAGTATTCATTTTAGAGAAAAAGCAGAACCTATATAGTTTCAACACAATATAAATCAAATGAAACAATAAAGCCATTAAAAATGCATTGGGACAAAAAATACATACAGATGATAAAAAATGTGAGAAACAATTATCAAGTTACAACATATTATGTAGAGATTGATCCTGAAAATGAGTTTCATGAAAGTTGCCAAAAAAAGGGGAAGAGTTCACTGTGATTTTAACATTTGTAAAATATCAGGCATCTCTTTCTATGGCTGCCTTATGAAAACATGTTTTTGTGAGTATATGTTGAACTAAAATCCGTTGGCAAACGATTTTGTGAGCAAAGGAACATATTTTATTCACAACAGCTAATATTCGAGGGGGTCATTCCTGGACCCATTTCAAGAATAAAACTCCATATGAACCTATGTCCTAAATATTTCGACTTTTGAGTTACAGGGTGCTGAAATTTTCAGAAAAAAAGTGTTTTTTTATAATAACTGTGAAACTATTGTAGATATTATTATGGAATTTGTTACACATCTTCCATGCACCAAGACGCATTTTTTGATGAGCAAACAATTTTATTTTTTTCACTAGTGGTGTCCGTATGGGTTTTGCATAGAATATTTCTGAAGAAAAAAATAGTACGCGACTCTTTTATCTCGAAATAAAAATTATTCTTCGAATTTTCATTCACTTCTGACTAAATTTGATCTGTTGATATTCTTTGTCCGACTCACGGTTTTGGATTAAAAAAATAAAAATCGTTTTACTTCAGGGTGAATTAACAAAATTCTGATGCGGTGACTGTTGTGTGAAAAGCGGAAATTGATGTTTTTTCATTTTGTTTTTGAATCAGTTACTTATTTATGAATTAATTGATGTGTAGCAAATGTCATGTAGAAATCTAAAATAATATAACGGTTATTATGAAAATAATATTTTTTCAGAAAACTTTACCATCCTGTAACTCAAAAGTTAAGACGTTTAGGACATAACTAAGTTTTTTTTAATGGGCCGAAGAATCACCCCTTAAAAAATTAGCATGTCATTAAGGAACAGGTGGCGATATATAAATATCAAAATTCATATCCAAAATATATCAGACATTCCTGATATTGTTATTAGGCTGAAATGCGAGAAAAAAAAACAAAATATAAAATACATAGCTTTAGTTCGGTGGAAACTGAAATCAATCAATTTTGATTTACAGAGCTATTCAAATTCGAGTCCATTCATGGGGATTTTGATGATGAAAGTAAGAGATAGAGCGATAGTTAAATGGGGGCAAAGTTGCGTATTTCAGAGATCAATTATATGGATAAAAAAATCTGATCTAGCTTCTTTAGTTCTGAAGTTATACAGGAAAAATCGAAAATTTCGAAATTCTTCTTGTGCCTATATATTTTCATTGTATGAAGTTTTTTTTTAATTTTGCCCCTTCGCCAAGGCAACTTTTTGTAGCCTTTCCAAATATCTGAATAAAATATATATACAGGATATCGTTAAATTGAACCACCCTCAAAACATGACTTTTGAAATTCAAAAAAATGCAATAAAAAATACAGGTCCGTATTTGAAAATTAAAAGTTGACGGTGGCCCAATACGATACCCTGTGAATACATTTTATTCAGATATTTGGAAAGGCTACAAAAAGTTGCTATGGCAAAGTGACGAAATTGAGAGAATTTTCGTAAAATAAAAAGATATCCGCAAATGAAGAATTTCGAAATTTTCGATTTTTCCTGTGTAACTCCAGATTCAAAGAAGCTAGATTTTGTTTATCCATATAATTGACCTCTGAAATATGCAACTTTGCCCCCATTTAACCATCCCTCTATCTCTTACCATTATCGAAATCCCCATGCATAGACTAGAATTAATTTGAATAGCCCTGTATATATTGGCCAACCCTGGTTAACATTCAACTCAAGAATTATATGCAAACATTATTTTTCGGTATGAAGTAGAGGAAAAGCTGCATATTTATCACCACAGTCTAACTTGACACATTTGTTAATAACTTCACCAACTGAAAATACCTGAATATGCCCTGGATTACTTATTACAAAAATATCGAGATCAGATGATTTACATGGATGCCGGAACAAATCTTCTTTGGTAAGGAATGTATATCCTATCAAAACAGTTTGATTACCTCGTGTCGCGAAATTCTGTATACTTACTATACTTCCATCGATCAAATGACAACAATTATCTGGTTCAGTTATTTTTAAAGTGAAATCAGAAGAATGAAATTCCATAAACTGAGGATGATTTGTTCCAGCAACTAAGGGGCCCCGTTCGTGTTTTCGGGAAGCACCTAACTGAGCAATTTTCATACTATTTTCCCCTTCAGATTTGTTGATCTCATATATGCGTTTAACAATTTGTGCTAAGGGATTATCCCCTTTTCTTACAAGTTTTTTCAATTGCTGTAACTTATTTTCGAAAGGGAAAGCACTAAACATGTCTAAAACTCCAATATTTTCAACATCATCACTAATATGCAACATATTATGTATGTTGTGCGACATATTTTTGATCCCATATAATATTTTAAAAGTATCAACAAAGTACTTCATCATTGATTTAGCATTTTCTTTATTATGTACAAATTTTGGGCAAGTTATAATGAAGGTGGCAATAAATAAGGACAAAAAATTTTTATAATTATCTACAGGTATTACAGACTTCAGAATAACAGGGCCAGTATAAAATAAAAACTGACGAAATTCAGTTGCTTTCCACCTCTTGACTTCAACCAGAGTTCTAGGCTTTCTAGCAAATTCACATGGTATATTTGAACTCTGTGATACCAAAAGTTCAGATATTCGCTCAATATCTCTACGTGATAACTTACTGCCAGACTGTGTATCAAAAACCCATAAATATAACAATTTTCGAACAGTACCTAAACAAATTAAATGCATATAATCAAGTACTATACCATCCACCATATTGAAATTGGGTAACTTTTCTAAAACAGAAGTGGCAATGTGATGCCTATCATTAATTTTCTGTCTGAATTCAATGTCATTTCTTTTTGCTGAATAATCTGTATTTGGAAAACATATTCTGTTATGATGATATTGTCCTTTGGTATAACATTTCGAACAACTATAATAGCCCATATGCCCTATTGTATATGTAATGAAGCACTTTGCTGGTACATCACAGATAAAAGCTTTGATTCTAAATGTATAGGTAACATTATTGAACAAAAATCCATTGTTTGTGAATTCAATTGCTTCATCAATGAATTCTTTCAACAAATCATCTGCTTCCTGTGGCTTTTGGAAACCATGATAAATACCAATAACAGAAACTTCTTTAGGGTAGCCATACAAATTACAAAGAATCGGATAAAACTGACTACCTGAGCTTTTCGTCAAAGGTATTCCATCAATATTCACACAAATTTCAATTGTTCTCAACCTGTTATCACTTTCAATTTTTCTCATCAATTTAAATACAGCATTCTTTAGTCCAAAATGAAAATATTTTCCAGGGGGAACATCTCTAAATACAAGCTCTCTTGGCGAACTTAACAATGTTCGAGCATCTGCAGGTAAATCATTCAGTGAAGGAACAGTTTTTAAATGTTTTAATGAGTCATTCAGGGCATTGTGAGGTATTTGGTATGTAACAGCCCAATTTGATAATCTGTATATGAAACTAGGACCACAAGATAACTGATTTCGAATGGGGGATTCTTCAATTTGTGTTTCTGTCACATTGAAAGGAGATTCACACATAGAGTTGCTCTCTATCAATTCATCATTCGATTTACTGGATTTACTTTCTCTATCACTCTGGATTTCAAGATCAAGAGGATCATTCATACCACAAACAATTGGATTATCATGGGAGATAGTAGTAGGACTAGGAAGTATATTAGCTGTTTCCGAATTAGAACATTCTGCACTACATTTTGCTGTTACATTGTTATCAGAGGCACTTGAAGAATTGTATGAATGAGAATCGTCATTAGTCATAGCATCAACGATGTTATCTGAAGTTTCCTTAGCAATTCTATGTGTTTATTTGGTCAACTTTGTCTTCGTCTCAGTCTCAGTCTTTGTTCTAATTTTAGTCTTTAAACAAAGTTGATTCTACACATTCGCATAAGAGCATTTAAACAACAATATTTGTCGTAGTCTCAAGTCTCAGTCCTGAAAACGTGACCTTGAGAGTTCCAATTTTCAACTTTCATTCTTAGGACGGAGACCACGACGTCAGTGCGCATGCTCAGTTTGTGCATGGCATTATTGACAATCGAATATTTTCTCTATTCTCATATTCTGTGATCTGTGTTGTGTGTTCATAATTTATATAGGTTATGTTGTGATAACAACAAAAATAATAATTATAAAAGATATAAGAGTAATAAAATAAAAGAAGATGTCTTCAGATGAAAGTAATTTGATCGAAATGGTAGAGAGATTCCCACATATATGGGACAAGAAAAATGCCCGTCACAGTGACAAAGTAGCGGTTGAAAATGCTTGGGAAAAAATTGCAAAAATTATGAATTTTTTTGGTAAGTACAAAAATTTTGATGGTATTGGATTCTATTCCTTCCTTTCAGTTGAAGAATGCATGGAGACATGGAAATCTTTACGGCTGAAATATGTCCGGGAAAGAAGAAATGTGAAGTGCCTACCGAGGTGCCTACCATCAGGTTCAGGGGCATATTCATGTACCTGGCCCCTCTTTGAGAAAATGGGGTTTTTAGACAGGACCATCATCTCCAGAAGGTTTTGTTGATGATTTAATTCTGAAAACTTATTAATACATATTTTTTACAGAACTAAGGGCAATATCAGCCGAAAAAATAATGAGAATGAGCCATCCGAAGTATGGGATACCATGTCGGAAATGCTCAGCCAAGACCAGGTAGAGTCGGAAACGTCTGGGCAATTATTGGAGGAGGAATTAGAAGAAGTAGCTCCTGCCATTTTACCTACTCCTCCAAAAAAAACAGTCTTCCAAAGCAGCAGTGATATTGAAAATCTCAGAAAGGAACGCTTGAATAAAAGAAAGAAAGTTGATGTTCCACTTGAGTCCTTAGTAGCTACATGTAGCTCAGTGGGTCAGAGTCTGAATTCTCTGCTGAATTCAGAGATTAATAAAGAGGACCATCATTTTGGTCTGTCTATAGCAGACACATTAAGCAGAATGACAGACAGAAAAAGAAAATTCCCTAAAAGCTCAGATAATGTTGCTCATAGCTGAGAATACGGATTGAGTCCATATTTCTATATACCTACCTACACGTTGTTTTGTTTTAGAGCAAATTTTATTTTTAAAGAAAAATGTACACATTTGATGTAAACTTTCATTTATTTAGAGTTTATTTTTTTATACTATCAACATTTTAGGAATAGGTTTTTGTGATCACTGTTCAGTTTTTCTTTTTTATTACAAGCTTTTATACAGTTTTTCCTATTTAAAATAGGTACTATTTCTATGTGATACCACAGAGACTGAGATAAGGTATTTAGACCTAAGAAGTGTGTACCTGAAAGTTGCAATAAATGAATTATAATATTCATTGCATGATTTTATTGGGTGAGCATGACATAACAAAATTAAGTTCTGATGAAAATTATTATAAAAATTAGAAAAATCAAGATATTTTGGTTCAAGATTTCAAACTGGTGGGATTCCTCCTCTATTTACATAGTTTGACTGCCATTCAACTTCTCCAACATTTGAAATGAAATAATCAGATAAAGTATCCCTTTGAGTCTTAGCAACATTAGTAGCATTATTTGACCCCATTCTACGTACTGATGGGAGATTATTTGCGTTGCTCCATTCACCAGGTATCAGCTCACCATTGCCATTGATGTAATCCACTTTTCCAGTGGGACAATAATTCCTCTCACGAAGGGGTATATCCATCTCACTAGTTTGGAGGTAATTATGAAGCACAAAAATAGCTTGTGTAATCCTCTCAACCACCTCCAAGCTAGCATTGATAGGCTGGAGCAATATGCGCCAACGCTGGTAAAGTATTCTGAAGGTAGTCTCTATGGTCCTTCTGGCCCTGCTAATCCTATAATTGAAGATGTTTTTTTTTTTTCACCCAGATGATTCCCAGCATAAGGTCGAATGATGTTTTTATGCAGGGGAAATGCAGCATCTGCCACTAAAAAGTGGTTCATTATTATATCAGATCCTGGTAATTTTGCAGGAGGAGGTAAATCTAATTCTTCACTCATCAGAGCATTCCCTAGGCCACTTGATCTGAAAACTGCAGAATCATGATTGGAACCTGCAGCACCAATGTCCACCATTGAGAATCGATAAAATGCATCACAGGAAGCCATCAGAACCATACTGTAATCTTTTTTATAGTTGAAGAATTCACTGCCCGAGTGAGGTGGACATCTGATTTTGATGTGTTTCCCATCCAATGCACCAACACAGTTGGGCAAGTTCCATCTTCTGAAAAAACCATCACTTATGGATTTCCAGTTCTGTCTGGTGGGCATGGGAAGTTGAGAAGGGCTCAGCACATCCCATATGGCTTGACACGTTTCCTTGATTATTTGATGGGCAGTAGCATGTCCAATTCGATAACCCCAAGCAATTTCTTGCATTGAGCAGCCCTCTGCAAGATAACTGAAAGATATATAATAGAAATGTAAGTAGTGCAAGGAGCATAATTATTATGTTAAATAACTTACTGGAGAGTTATCAGTAGACGCTGTTCTGGTGGCAAATGTTCTTTTTTTCTGTCTTTCTGTATGAGAGGACCAACACAAACAAGAAGATATTGGAATTGATTCCTGCCCCTATTTGATGAACTGCATTTCATCCAATTCCAGGGTTTGCATACCTTTTATAAGTGTAGCAAAGAACCCTTCCCTCTTGCGCCTTCTATTGATAGGGCGCACTTTAAACCGTCTCTGACGCTTTTTGGATTGTAAAAGAGTGCAAATAACACTTGCATTCATCAAAAAATATGAACTGGTCGTGATTAATGTTTGATTATTAATGTAATCCATTTTTAACTTTTCAAAATAATAATCTAGAATTTACCAAAAAAGTTTGGTTATCTTTCTGTCACTGTCATCAGTGTCATTTGTCTAAGTCCTATGTCCTAATATGGTCCTAATAAACATGTTGTATAAATAGCCACGTCTTAATTCCTTGAGATAAAGACTGAGACTAGGACTGGGACTGAGACTTGAGATGAAGACAAAGTTGACTAAATAGACACTATATTGATGACGCTTGGAAAAGTACCGCTTTCTTTTCAACATTTTTTCAAACATTCAATAATACACTCACATGAAATATTTTATTAGATCATCACCCACCTGCTTGCTTGTATAGTCAGTACAATAACACTCCAATGGCTTCACGATAACTTTGGAAGTTTTCTTTTTCATTTATCCAAAACACAACTTTTTAACTTGTTGAACAAACAAGAACATAGACAGCGTGGTCACGTGATCACAGCCGAGTCGTCATGGTCGAAGTCAAACGCATAAAATGAACAGTCAACTGTCAACAGTCCGAA